GAGGGCAGTGTCACTGGCCCTCATATGTGGGATCCGAACCGGGACTCTCTGGCGTCCCAAGCCAGTTCTTAACCATCACATCACTCGGTCGGCCCCGATCCATTTTACTTCTAAAAGTGGGGTTTGCCCTTATTTGTCCCATGGCTTTCTCCTCCCCCACCAAAGATAAACCAGTCTGTCTGTATCTCTCTAGGGTAGTGCGTGATGATAACTACCATCACTGTCAATCTGGTGGGCTCAGTCATCTACTAGTTATTTAAGTACTTAATGATCACCAGTCATATATTTGTGTAAATTTAAGGATAAGAAAGCCAAGAATATGAAGTCCCATCAAAATATCATTGTTTTCTTTTTTTGTCTTTGTCCAGAACACATTTCACCATATCTAACTTAAAAGTTAGCTAAGTTTTAGAAAGTCCTTTATAGTACAGGTAACGAGAGTTGCTCTAGCTTCCACAAGCTATGTAACCTCCATTGGAAGTGAGGCCTACAAAGCTTTTTTCATGGATATGAACCTTGAAGGAACGTTGACAGTATGGTTTCCCAACAGTCCACAGCTTTAGCTGGCTGCCCATTGAAGCAGAGACAATTTCCTCGCTACTGTCAAACTTTGCATAAGAAACTGCTTTTCGGTGTCATTTGAATACATGATTGGCTGTTTAGTGTTACGAAGATCATAGCAGTGGACTCAGTGATCTGCGCAGCTGAAAACCAAACGGTATCTAGAAGAGGGGCTGAATTTAAAATGACATACATTAGCCTTTGCCTCAATGCTTGTCACTGAGTTGTCTAGGTTGGTGGACCACAGCTTCTCTTTCGCATCATCAGAACCCAAAGCCAAGAGTTTAGGGTCCATCAAATTAAAATCAACATTCTAACACCTATTCTCATGCTCTTGATAGACCTTTGACCTCTGTCCTGCGAATCCATCCCATAAGATGACAGTGCCTTCACAGTCATGGCTGGCTAACAGGTTCTTATGATAACTACTCCAACTGATACAGCTGATTTTGGAATTGCAGGTTATTTCATTTTCAGGGTAATGAATATCCACCGCATCCTAAATGTGCCATATTCATAGACTTAAATCTTCTTTGTAACCCCAGCAATCGCAAAATAGTCACAATCCCTGTCAAATTCGATACAAATGAATTTGTTAGCGCTGTGTGCTGGAGGGCGCTGCCAGATGGGGAGTCCAATGTACTGATTGCTGCCAACATTCAGGGTACAATTAAGGTGCTGGAGTTGGTATGAAGGGTTTACACAGTTAAATTGTACTTGATCCTGCTGACATACAGCTGCAGCTGACAATGAGAGAAGACAGAAGCTGTCACGTCGTGTCTCTCCCCAAAGTCATCATGGGTTTTGGATTTGTTTTGAGTATTTTTTCTTCTATTTTTCCCCTCCTTTATGACCTTTGGGACATTGGGGGTACCCAATAGACTCTCCACCATCAGTGTAACTCTACGGACATTGCTGCTCTTGGTGTCAGGGTTATCTAATTTTTGTGATTGGGAAACAAATTATTTTGACTAAAAATAAGTAATAAAAAATAATAAAAGTTTATTGAGACACACACACACACAAAATCATTGTTTTTGTGACCTGGAAAAATCTATATCCTTATGATTTCAGTGATAGTAACAACATAAGTGAAATGAAAGCTGATAAACTGCATCTTCCATTTGTCCTGCAGGCACTATTTACAAAGTAAATGGATAGGATCAGGCTTTTAAGGTCACCCATGTCCCTTTACAACTTCTCTGATTCAACTGAGGGAAAATGGAGGGCTGGTATCTCCAAAAAGGAGCAGGATGCTTCAGGCAAGGCCATGGACTTTTGTTCTGAGAAGCTGATATTCTGGGCAGTGGGCACACCTAGTGCTTTGATCTATGCTGAGACAGGCTGGGACAAGCTGTCTAAGGTTGTAACTACAGTACTTGTAGGAAGCTTGCTTTTAAGAGACCAATCTGTAATCATATTCAGAGATTTTTCTTGATCTGTGTGGGCCTCAGTTTACTTATCTGTTAACTGGAAGTTAGAAACAGTGGCCTCTCTAAAGATGCCAACTGGTCTAACATTCTATGATGTTACTTTGGTTTCATTTTCACTTATTCTGCCAATCTTTTTTTTCCTTTTTCTACCCACACTTCAATGCATTTTACAAAATATTTGGTATCTATAGCTAGTTATAAGCGCCAATATTTTTTAGTTACCCATTCTGAATTAAGTACAATATAGCAGTGAAAAAATGTAAATATTTGTCTCTTCCCTTATAAATCTTACATTCTAGGGATATGGCAGGGAGGCAGCTGACACAGGCATTAAAAGACCCAATACAGGGCCAGCCGAGTGATGCATTGGTTAAGAGTTGGCTTGGGACACCAGCTCTGAGCAGCAGGGCCCCAGTTCGGATCCCACTCGAGGGCCAGTGATGCTGCACCCTCTACAGCTGAGATGGTGAACAACAGCTCGACCTGGAGCTTGGCTGCCATGAGTTGACAGCGTAGGCTGCAATGGAGCTGCAGTGGGCTCCCTCCCGTAAGCTACTGTGAACGGCCGGCAGCTGGCGTGAGCTGGCGTGAGACAGCGTGACCGTCCGCCCATTGACCGGCGACCGATCTGCCTCACCCGGAAAGAGTGCAATAATACCAACATGGGCCAGTGAAGTGATGTCCTCCACAACTAGACTGAAGAACAAAAGGACAGCAACCTGTCTGTTCCCCTTCCCCGATTCCCCAATGCTGTTCCCCTCCCCCAATTCCCCAATAAAATCTTTAAAAAAAGACCCATTATATCAATAATTTATTATAATAGTGATGTGTGCAGTAAAGGGGAAATAGAGGCAGGCTGTCATGACCTAGTCAGGCAGAGGGTCATCAGGGGCGGTTTCCTGGAGCAGGTATCATTTAAGACCTGGATGATTAATGGAGATGAGGTTGGTGAGGAAGAGAAGCAAGAAGATTCTTTGCAAAGGTCATGAGATCGGGTGGAGCCTGGCACGACTGTGCAGCAGAAAAATGCACTGTGTGACTGAAGGGAAGGAAATAGAAGCCATGCTGGGAAGGGGCAAGCCAGAGAGGAGGCAGCAACCGTCTTATGCAGGGCATGACGGGCCTTGAGCAAGAATTTGTATTCCATTGTGAGGGCAATGAATAGCCATGGACAGTTTTAAAGCATGATCAGATCTGCATTTTTTACAAAAGATCACTCTGGGGATGGACAGATAATGATAATATAGCTAATGGTAGAAGCTGAATTTAGGTGGTGGGGATTAGGGTATTTACTGTAAAATCATTTCAACTTTTCTGTATGTTTAAAAATAACGTGTTGGGAAAATCTGGCCACAGTATGGAGAATGGATTGAGGGAGGGCAAGATTAGCTGCACAGATGGCAGCTAGGAGACTGGTGATACTTTTAGAGAGGGGTGATGGTAGCTTGGACTAGAGTGGTGGCATGGACATGGCAAGAATTGGACAGGCTTTTGAGATATCTAGGACGTAGAATCAATATGGTTTTCTGATTGATTTTGTGTCAGGGTAAGGGAGAGGCCTAAATCAAAGATCACTACCCAGTACCTGGTTAGTATAACCGAGTGGATGACAGTACCAGGTCATCCAGGTCAGAATGTACTAGAGTAGAAACACATGGGTGCAAGGGAGATGGAGGAATGAAGAGATCAGTTTTCTATATGTTGAAAACAGGAGCTATCCTGGTGGAGATGTCCAATAGGCCGTTGGGGCTGGGGCTGAGAGGAAGGGTCGAGGTTGGAGATGTGAGTTTGAAGTGATAAGCATATAAATTGTCATAAAACCACAACAGCACAGTCCATAATAACATCTGAGAGGGTATAGAAAGAGATGAAAGAACAAGCACTGAAGAATCCAATGTTTAACATTTAACAATCTTTAACAGAGAAGGAGAGGGAGCCACTAATGACACAGAAAAATTCAGCATATATGATATTATTGATGGCCTCTATTGATGGGCTTTTGGGTTCTTTCCAATCTTCTGCAATAATAACCCTTGTATGTACTCATTTCTTACATATGTATCTATCTCTAGGATAAATACTCCAAAGTGAAATTGCTGCATTATATACAGAGGGTGCCAAAAAAACATATACACATTGCAAGAAAGAAAAAACTATATTAAAATTAGGCTCATGGCTACCACTTTGAGTACCTCTTGTAATTGCAGAAGTCAAACGTGACTTGTATTCATCTTTTGTTATTGGTATATATTGAGTATTACAATTTTAATACAGCTTTTTCCTTTCTTAAAATGTGTATATATTTTTTTGGCACCATATGTGAGTGTGTGTGTATTGAATTTCATTGCTTATTCAAAAAAGACTGCTTAGAAAAGCGTCCAAACATAGTTTCGTTAACCATATTTAATGTAGCATTTGATAGGACTGGTTAAATTTTGTATACCTATAATGTAATACCTTGTAGCCATAAAAAAGAATGAGGTTGTCAATATATTCTGATATGGAAGGGGAAGAAGGAAGACTTACATTTCCCAACTTTGAAGTATTTGAATTTTGTGACATTCACATGTGTTACTTATATTTAAAAATATTCTTTGTACTTCTACATCATACTTAGTAAAAAAGAGTGACCTAAAGATCAATTTACCTTTTATTTCCGAGAGCAACACCAACAAGTTTCTGATGGACTACATCGCTAGCTTCTGCATAATGGAAATACCCGGCTCGATGTAGGATTTTATGAAACCATGATACAGAGAAGTGCTCTAAATGTAGCAAAGATCTGAACACATAAAGTTCATACTCGTTTTGAGTTCAAGTTATAAGGTTTGGAATTCATTACTTTGCGACTTTTTTATTAGTGAATAAATCCACTTCATTTTGTCTATTTTAGAGATGTCTCCAGACTTCACCATCACCCCTCTCACCTCCCCTAAAAATGCACTTGAACACAGAATGAGTCACATCAAGTCTGAAGACAATTTATTTTTACGATATAGAAAGTAGTGATGATCTTACATATTTTGTGTTCTGTTTTAAGAAGGGCAGTATAGGAATATGGATGGGAGTTTTATTTAAATTAAAATGTGCCATAAGTACGAAGTTACACTTAGACCACTAACTTCAATTTTCTAGAATTAGCCTATTTTTTAAAAATAATATTGAAAATGGGTTGCTTATTCTCTTACTAAGAATAATGCTGAATATATTCTTAAATATGTATTCAAAATTCAAGAAGAAATTTAGAATACAAAATAATAAGCTAGAATAAGCCTGAAGGTGATTCTAGCTTTCCTACTACTGAAATTCAGGTTCTATCCTTTTAAGGATTTTATAAGAATTCAAATGAAAAAATAAATGAGTTGAGGGGCTACAAGATGACTCCAAAAGCAGAGTAGGTCAGGTATGTTCTTACTCAAATAATCAGACTCTACTCCACCTTCCGTCATCTATGTCCTCCCGTCCACCCTGATCATGCCATGGGCTACAGTAGGAAGAACACTGGCCTAGGAGTCACACCCTGGATTTAAGTCCAGATACTTCTATATGATCTTGGGCAAGTCATTTCATCTCCGTGAGTTCAGATTTGGAATTTACAAAATGAGGAACCAAGTCTGAGGCCCCTTTCAGCTTCAACTACCTTTGCATCTAAGTTTGGTGTCTAAAGCATCTGAAATGCCAGGTGACAGAAGGTATGGTAGATTGAACTATTGGCCATGATTCTTCATCTCTTCCTGCATTCTTACTCTTGCCATGGCTTCACTGTGAGCAGAGTGTATTTCCCTCCCTCTTGCTTTCGGCCTTGGCCACGTGACTTCCTTTGACCAATGGAGTATCAGTAGACACAATACAAGCAGGGCTCAAAATGTATGCTATGTCTTATTCCCTTTTAGTTAATGACTTAGAACACTTTATAAAATACATATTAACAAACAGACCTCTCTCATAGCTAGGCCATAACTAGGGTGACCCTACATCCCAATTTTCCAGGTCAATCCTGATTTTACATCTATTGTTCTAGTCACATCTTGTGTAATGATTTAGTTCTCCTCACTCTGAAAAATGGGCTGATTTAGATTATAAATTATATAGTCACCACAGAAAAACTTGTCAGTTCATCTTGAAAACTTACCTAGTTAAGCCACAAGATTGCTACAATAACAGGGCCATCTCCTGGTCCTAGCAACCATCCCTACAATGCCTTCTTTAGATCATGGGGATTCCCAAGGTGAGGAAAGGTAGCCAGTATCCCTTCTTACTCTTCAAGTGATCTACATTTTGAGTGCTCCCCTTTTCCCTCAAACCATTTGAGGAAAACTAAATTAACTCATAACAAGAAAAAATGGGGACTCCTAATCTCACCTGTACTGTCAAATAAGCTTGCACCACTTCCCTTATGTTATAAAGCCTATGTATCATTGAACAATTTGCTTTTTAACAGGACAGTTTGGTACACTTTCTATCATCCAATCAAGAAGGCCCTGGCCTATGGCAATGTTCATCACCCTGATCTCTCTCCCTTCATGTTCCACTGTCCTCAGGTAAAGAATGGCAGAGAAGAGGAATCCGAGGTCCCAAGCCTGCTACTGGTAGGAAATGGCAGTCAGACAGTCCTGGGAGGCCTCATTTTGGAGAATGGTACCTTCAGAGCTGACGCTTCCCCATGCTAGAACGGAGCATGAGTATACCCTCTATGGGAGTACCAGGATTGTCGGTCATCTTCTGCCAAAGGCGTTGTTCTTCCCCCTGAGAGTCCATCCAATCCACATTCTTCCCATGGCTCACACCTACAGAAGGGAAAGGGGAGCATTATACTTCACAGATGAAATGTTTTGGTCTTCTGGAAGACACCTATAAATCTCTGAGGGGGCCTTTGGACCAGAGAGCCCTTCACTGGCTTGTTCTCACTTGCCACATCTGGTGAGTGGTGTTAGAATGGAATACATCTTTTGCAGCCTAGCTACTCTTTTCTGCCTAGATGATGAGACATAATCAGGATGGCCCTAGAGCAGCGGTTCTCAACCTTCCTAATGTCGCGACCCCTTCATACAGTTCCTCATGTTGTAGTGACCCCCCAACCATAAAATGATTTTTGTTGCTACTCTAGAACTGTAGCTTTGCTACTGTTATGAATCGTAATGTAAATATCTTTTTGTTTTCCGATGGTCTTAGGCGACCCCTGTGAAAGGGTCGTTGGATCCCCAAAGGGGTTGCGACCCACAGGTTGAGAACCGCTGCCCTAGAGGCTCATTTCTTCCCCCACTTTGGTAGCTTAGCAGAGAGCTGGCTTATTTGGACTGAGCTAACATGACAAAGTAACAGGTTGAACTGGGCTCTGAGGCTCTTCCTTTGTAACAAGGCCACTTCTCTGACCTGGGGAGTTTTCACTTTAGTGGGATATACATTCTTGGCTCTCCTTAATCTATAAATAAGTAGAGAATCATAGGGATGGGGTGATTCTCAACAGAAATGTTGACCATGGTACAATGCAGACCACTTATGTCTGGATTAAGCTGTTGGATGAGAGTTTGGGGGGCCGCAAACTATTTCCCCCCAATTCTGTTATAGTTGTCTTCTGGTACAAGTGGTGTGTTTCCATAACCTGTTTGAACAACATTAGATGCTATTTTTTTTTCACTGCAGACTACGCCAATGCCAGCGACTCACGGCAGCCCAGCTCCAGGTTGAGCTGTTGTTCACCATCTTAGCTATAGAGGGTGCAGCGTCACTGGCCCTCATGTGGGATCCGAACTGGGGCTCTGCTGCTCAGAACTGGCATCCCAAGCCAACTCCTAACCAAGGTGCCACTCGGCCAGCCCTAGATGCTAATTTTTAGGGAAAAAAATATTTTCTTTCAATTCAACTAGTATGAGTAATGGCTTCAAGTGTTGGACAGAAATGAGACAAGGATGAAGTCAAGTTGGTCCTGGAAGTCCTTCTTTGCCCTAGAAGCCTGTGTTGTCTTGCTGATCCTTTCCTGAGCAACACCTCAAGGAAGTCCCAAGAAAGCAGTTGGGATTCACTTAAAGTGGAAATATTTTGTGAAAAGAATGAATATAAACACCATACATCCCAAACTTCTAGCTGAGGGCCGCAAAGTTATGTAGCAGTATTTTTATTTTGAAAAATGCATAGATCCTCAGCTAAAGGCATGGAGCATCTGTGGAACTTTCAGGAGTCAGCTATGCTGAAACTACATATATACCTACTACATATTACACTTGCAGGAACCACTCCCCTGCCCCACGCCCAGTCACAGACCATCGCCAAGTCCCCGAGTCCCTCACCGCTTCCGGAATTCAAACGAACTCCTCCCAGAAAGATGTTGCTGGAAAAGGCCTCCTTGTCCCAGACGGTAAGTTCTAGGCAAACATTCTTTAAATCCTGGGGATGCAGGCCACTGAATGTGAAAGTATGATTCCACTGAGGGTTAACGCTCTTTTTTATTACCAGAGTTTTGTGCTTGGTGGCTTTGCTATCATCAGGGAGCAGGTAGCTGCAGGAGAAAGTGCAATCAAGTCATCAGAAAGACAGTGGGCAGAAAATGACATCCTTGAATAGTCCTTTCAATTTCCCATAATTCCTGGTGTGTGTGTGTGTGTGTGTGTGTGTGTGTGTGTGTGATATGTGTATTGGATTTTCTCTCCCAGGTTCTTATATGCTTAAATATGATTTAGTGGGATGTTTTATTATTTCTTTTAAGTGGGGCAACAGTAAAATGTCCACACTCAATTTTCTAATCTTATTTTAGTCCTCTCATCTTGAAATGAAAATATCTCCTGTGGTAGACGCTATTGAATGTATTTAATGTCCTGCTTCCTATCATCTTTGGCCCACCTCTGGGTTGACTTGAAGCCAGGATGAGCAGTTCCTGGCATGTTGCCAGCTTCCTATCTCAAGTACCAGTTTCTTGGCTTCTCCAGGTAAGGACTTTCTCTGGTGCTGTGTGAGCTGACTCACCTTATGTGCAAGGAATTCTAGGATTACTAGGGATTCAATGTCCCTAGGAGCAACCCTCAATCAATGAGTTTTGGAAATTGATGGATGAGTCCCATAGCTTCCCTGTCCCTTAAAGGGACAATACTAAGGTACATTCCACAGAGTTCTTTGTTGCTTCCCCACTGGAACTGAGCCCCAATTGCCCACAATAGTAACTGGCCTATTAACATATTTTTATCAGCTTCCCTCCTTTCCCTGTCTCCTTTTCTCTATTCTCTCATTGGTACTTCCTGGAATCTGTTCTCAAATAAAACGCCTGTACCCCAGGACTTCTCTCCTATGGTCAAAACACTGTTTTTGACCATGTAGAGAATGAGGCTCTAGGTACCTGATGAATCAGGGAACAGGCTTTAGGGAAGAAGGCATATGGGTATGGAATTATTACATCATACAAACACAAAAAATGCCACAAAACAAATGACCTTACAATAAAGAAGATACATTACGACACTTGAGATTTCATTTCATGTATCAAGCAGAGACTACTTAGCTCCCAATATTCATCCTGTCTCTATTGTATTCTAAAAAAAAAAATCCTCGTTTTTTTGTTTTGTTAGGAACAAGGTTTTCCAAAGTAAAGGCTACCTTCCCCAGCCCCCTTGCAGCTAATACAGTTATGTGACTAAGTTCTGACCAGTAAGATATAAGAAGTCGTTTTGTATGAACCTTCTGGGAAGTATATTGCCAGATGGAATTTGGATGGGATAGCCGAAACTCGAACAGCTATCTTGGCCCATGAGGTGGACACCATAACAAGATAGAAGAAACCTGGGTCCCTGATCACCATGATGCTTCCATACCTGCCGTATATACCTTACCTTTAGTCTCTGTTTACATGCAAGAGGAAAAAAAAAAACATTTGTCTTCTTTAAGCCACTGTTATGCGGGCTCACAGACAGAGCTAATCTTAACTTCTATATTTTATAACATTAAACTATAGAGGAGGGTCTTTTCTTGTTCTCTCATGCTCTTTTTAAAAAATCTGAGGTCCCTTTAAAATCAGCTCAATGTTGAAGTGTCACTAGGGAGAGAATTCACTAGAAAGTTCCTGGCCTTTTAAAAAGTTATAGAACAAAAATATACTGTCCTTTATCATCGCTGCTTCATAAATTTTCAACATAATCAAGTGAAAACTATTTCAGAAAATGTTAAGTCACCTCTGTAAGGCCACAGGCGACGAGCCATCCCCTCATCCCCTCAGTGAGCAGGAAGAGGCCTGAACTGGATGGTGGGGCTGGGGAGGCAAACTGCAATGGCAGGATCCAAATAAAGCACCTCACTACTGTGAGAAAGAGTGAAGGGCAGATGGACCGGGATTCAGGTGCACACACTCACCAGTGCGGAAGCCCCCAGACATCTGCTTCTCCTTATGATTCACCTTATCAAAGAGTGTATGCGACTAAAGGCTTGACTCACTTCCTTGCAGGAGAAATTACACTTAGTTCTAAGAAGGATTGAGGACAGGGACAATACTGTCATCTGACTCAAAGAACTAACATCATGGGAATCTGTTGGGCTTCCTGTGTTCTATGGCATTCCATGAGAGCAGGGACCGTGTCCTAATTGTGAAACTGAATCGCTTAGTACTTGGCACATGTGCATTTATGTATTTGCCTGAGCGAATGAAAAACATCTTTCTGGTTCTAGTTCCTCTAATTAGAAGAGAAACATAGATATCAAGAGATATTTGTTGTTGGGTTGCCTAGAATGGGCAAGAATGTCCATTTAAAGGGCTATATTCCCTCAAAAAACAAAGTGGGCACACATTCCCAGCGGGCAGTCCCAGACCTTCCCCAAAGCACTCTCCAGGGAGTAAGTATCTCCAGGGAGGATGCTCTGATATCTCCACTTTTTACTATTTCCCTCGAGAGAGCAAATCACCAAGGATCCAATATTTTTGTTGTTGTTGCATACTGTCAGCACCAAATGATAATAAAGCACAATAAAAGTACATTACACAGAAAAATCATACTTTCTCCTCCTTCAAGAAACAAATCGCACAGGAAAATCTGCCCATCTTGAAGGTGAGAGTGATGGGAAATCCTAAAATGTGCTGGAAGCAGGCTGAGGGCTAGAATAAGCAGTTCACTCTATATTCGTATTGTTTTAGCTGGAAGAGCCAGCATTCAAGGGTAGCTTTTTCCTAGTACATGTCAAATAAGAAGAGCATGGAAGTCTCACTGCCACCACTGTCTCATGGATCACAGATTCTTTCATCTCCCACTAAGTGTCATCTAAAATGAACTGAAAGAAAATTACCCCTTCACAAAGCTATCAGAAGTGCCTCCTGACTTCACTGCGGTCAGATTCTTTGCCTCTTTGATGAATACTTCTAGTATTCCTCCAGAAATTACAGGCGACGCCTTCTTCTTTTCTCTTTTAATGGTCTTCTTTCCTGCATAAGCCATAAAAATGAAAGATGTGGGGGGAGAGAAAGAGACAGAGAGAGAGAGAGAGAGAGAGAAGAAGAAGAAGGAGGAGGAGGAGGAGAGGCAGGACGCAGAAAAGGATGGAAGAGGAGAGAAGAGAGTTCGATCATAGGTTCTACTTCAAAATTTACAAAGAAAATCTACAGAGATTTATTTCATTTTTTTAACTTCCATTTTTTATATTAGATTCAGGTTTACAAAATAACATAATGATTAGACATTTAACACCCCTCACAATGTAATACCCTGGCCCCGCCAAAGTCTACTTACTACCCCTCTGACACCGTATATAGCTGTTACAATTCCATTGACTATATTCCCTATGCTGTACTCCACATCCCATGGCTATCTATCTATCTATCTGTCTGTCTAACTATCTATCCATCCATCCATCCATCCATCCACACACACATATTTAATTATAGTTGACATTCAATGCTATTCTACTTCAGCTTCAGGTGTACAGCACAGTGGTGAGGCATCTACACAGTCTATAAAGAAGAATGAAATCTTAACATTTGCAATGACATGATGGACCTAAAGTATATTATGCTAAGTGAAATAAATTAGACTGAGAAAAACCAATACCATATAATCTCACTTATATGTAGAATCTAAAGAACAGAATAAATGAGCAAACAAAACAGAAATAGACTCAGAGATACAGGGAAAAAACCTGATGGCTGCTAGATGGAAGGGGGGTGGGGATGAGGGAGAAGGGGAAGGGATTAGAAAGTACAAATTAGTAGTCACAAAATAGCCACGGGGATGTGAAATACAGTATGGGGAATATAATCAATAATGCTATAAAGAGTATGTAGGGTGTCAGATGGGTACTGGACTTATTGGGGGATCACTTCATACATTATGAAGATTTATTTCATTTGCTGATTGAATCAGGTCTTCACATTACTGTATCTCTTTCCATGTACTGATTTAAATGTTTTTTACCCTATTGGATTCCTTCTAGATAGGTCTTTCATTTGTGTTTGTTGGAAAAAATGACCAAATAAATTTAAATTTTTAAGTACTCCCCTACAAGGTATATCTTTTCACAGGGTATAAAGGAATAAAACGGAAAAGACCCTGAGAGCTCCCTGGGCCACATTCCTGCTCTCAGTAGGAAATAGTTACAATGAAAGCCACACACAAGTGCCACACCTCCATAAGATAAAATTCCATAACTCCCCTCTTTGATGTTTTAGTCTTCTAAATTGTCAACTCCATGCAGGGCCAGCTCTAAAGACTACAGCCCAGGCACAATTACATTTTTGAGGGAGAGAAATCTCTTCCTACAGCACATTAAAAAAAAAAAGATTTTACTGGGGAATTGGGGGAGGGGAACAGCATTGGGGAATCAGGGAACGGGGACAGAGAAGTTGCTGTCCTTTTGTTCTTCAGTCTAGTTGTGGAGGACGTCGCTTCACTGGTCCATGTTGGTATTATCGTTGCGCTCTTCCCGGCTGAGTCAGATTGGTCACCGGCCATTGGACAGAAACTCACGGCGGCTCCTGGCAGCTCACACCGGCTACCGGCCACCGGCCACTCACGCTTGCTGCCAGCCTCTCACAGTAGCTTATGCAGCCCACTGCAGCAGGGGCTGCAGCCTACACTGTCGCCGGTGACTCACGGCAGCCCAGCTCCAGGTTGATCTGTTGTCCACCATCTTAGCTGTAGAGGGTGCAGCATCACTGGCCCACATGTGGGATCCGAACTGGGGCCCTGCTGCTCAGATCTGGCATCCCAAGCCAGCTCTTAACCAATGTGCCACTCGGCCAGCCCCCCACATCACACTTTTATTATAATGAAATGTGCTCAAATATGAATAAAAACTACCACCACCATTATTTCATATGGTTTTAAGCACTTTGCATGAATGAACCTATTTAATCCTTGCAATATCCCTATGAAGTGAGGAAACTGAAGCCGAGAAGATAGTAAGTTACTTGCACAGTCACGCTGAAGAGGGTGATAGTGAATGGATGGATAGAGGAGACTGCCTTTAGGAGGTGATGGAAGGAGAAAGGAAGGGCAAGAGGGATTTAAAAGTTGTTATGTTTCCTTTACATTCTGTGTTCTAGGTCATCGTCTTCCTCAAGACTCCGAGTAGCTGTGAATGTCACAAATCCATAAGGCAGCTATCTACACCTCCAAAGACTGTCCTTCTTTACCACTCAGTCCACCCTGGGGCAGATCCTCTATCTCTGGGACTTCCAGGAAACAAATCTCTCTATTCAGGCTGGTTTCTAAGTATGAACTTTGTCCTTTCCTTGTAATGATCCCACACCCTTCCCCATATATATAGTATATAGTATATACTTTTCAACTCTCGTCAAAAGTCAGACACCTAATCCTTTAGATTTATTTTATCTGTGTAATGCAAAAGTAACATAGTCCAACCAATTCCTGACCCCTATTCCCTAGCTTCTAGAAACAGAATGTCCTTGATCAAAGTCATTGGTTTTTACTCTACCTTGAAGTTGTCCTAGTGAACGCATCAGGTTCTCCTCTGGGGGAATGTAACATAAAACAACTGTCAGCTCTCCTTTGTATTGAAGGCCAATGTCAGCAGCAAATTCCACCTAGTCAAGGGGAGACAGGTCAAAAAGAGAAAGTGAGAATGCTTGTTTTATTATTTTGTAGCCCATGTTTGTACAGTATTTACTTGGTTTAATTGTGACAACCCATTTCCATTCAACTATGATAGCACTTATTGGTTTAAGAGATGTCTTAGGTATGAGAAAAGAGAGGCTGGAGAACTCTATGAAAGCATTTGCATATAACATTTAACATTAAAGTAATTTGAGGGGAGATGTGTAACACATATGGTTAGTCAACAGATACTGAGTGCCTGTGATGCACTGAGGACTGCTCTATCACTGAACACACATGTAGTTTGGGAGAATGAGGCAAGAATAAAGATGCTACTGACAAAAGCCTCATAAGATACTTCTTCCTGTCTGTCCTGGAGGTCTCAAGGCTTTCCTAAATGACCAAGAAGGGGAAAGTAGGCAACAATGCTTGATTCACACTGGGTTGCCAGTCACCAATTATTAAAAAATTATGTTGGTAATTTTCACATCATTAAAATCCAATGTGGAAAAACTGGTTCCTTCAAACATTGCTGGTAATAATGTAAAACGGTATAGCCATTCTGGAAAACAGTTTGCAGTTTCTTGTAAGACTAAACATACAACTGGCATACAACCTAGCAATTATACCCTTGGGCATTTACTCTAGAGAAATGAAAGATTATGTCCACACAAAAACCTGTACACAAATACTTGTATCATCTTTATTTGTAATAGTAAAAAACGATACAACCTAGATGTTCTTCAACAGGTGAATGGTTAAATAAACTGTGGTGCAGTCATACCATGGACTACTATTCAGCAATAAAAAAGGAATGACTACTGATACATGTAAAAGCTTGGATGAATCTTAAGAGAATTATGCTGAGTGAAAAAAAGCCAGTATCAAAAGGATACATACTATACTATACCATTTATATGAAATTATTAAAATGACAAAATAATAAATACGGAGAACGGATTAAGGTTGCTAGAAGTTAGGGATGGGAATGGCAGGAGGGAAGTGGGCGTGGTTATAGAAGAACATGAGGGATCCTTGTAGCAATATAACTGTTCTATACTTTGATGTGATGGTGGATACAAAGCTACACGTGATAAAATTGCAAAGAACTAAATACACACACACACACACAAATGAAAACTGAGGAAATCTGAATAAAATTGGTAGATTATATCAATGTCAGTATCTTACCTGTGATATTGCACTATAGCTTTTTTTTGTTTATTAGTTTCAGGTGTACAAAACAATGTAATAGTTAGGCATTTCACCTGTCACAAAGTGATAACCTCTTCTCCCCCAATCTATTGTCCCTCTGACATTGTATATATCTATTACAATTCCACTGACTCTATTCCCTATACTACTATACTCCATATCCCATGACTATATCTTTGCAAGACGTTATCACTGAGGGAAATTGGGTAATGGGTATATGTAATATTTATTATAACTTCATGTGGATCTACGAACATCTCAAAATCAAAAGTTTAAATTAAAAAATTAAATGTGGGGCCGGCCGAGTGGTGCGATGGTTAAGAACTGGCTTGGGACACCAGAGAGCCCCGGTTCGGATCCCACATATGAGGACCAGTGACACTGCCCTCTACAGCTAAGATGCTGAACAACAGCTCAACCTAGAGCTGGGCTGCCGTGAGTCGCCAGTGACGGCATAGGCTGCAGCCCCTGTGGCAGTGGGTTGCCATGGGCTACCGTGTGTGGCCAGCAGCCAGTGTGAGCGGCCAGCAGCCACAGTGAGCGGCCAGCGGGCGACTGATCTGCCTGTCCCAGGAAGAGCGCAATGATGGTGCCAACTTGGGCCAGTTAAGCAATGTCCTCCACAACTAGACTGAAGAACAAAAGGACAACAACTTGTCTGTTCCCCTCCCCCCAACTCCCCAGCGCTGTTCCCATCCCCCCAATTCCCCAATAAAAATCTTAAAAAAAAAATTAAACGTGAACTCACAGGCTCTGTTCTGTAAGTCTCCCACTTGCCATTGAGTTAACTAAACTTTAATTTTTCATAAACAGGGTAAGGAAAGTAATGTACTTTCTCAGGTTTTTTCTTTAGTGACTTGACTCCTGAGCACTGAGTCAAGGGTTGAGAACTGCTCTCTTCTGAGAAAAGGCAGACTGAAAGGATTCAGAAACCCAAAAACTTACAGCATAGTTCAAGCCTCAGCAAAAAAAGACCAAGGCCATTACAAAGAAAAGGAATCCTTGGTTGACTTTCTTTCCTCTTGGTCATGGTAAAACTTATTAGTAAGGGTGGGAAAATCATTTCAAGTATTTTTTTTAATTCAACCATCTTACCAGGGGCAAAAATGCGATTAGATGGTGAAACATTCTATCCACCTAATATTTAATCTGACTATTTTAGATCGAGTACCTTGTAAAAGGACTTTTCTTATTATTTTAAAGTTTCAGAAAATTGTATGTGAATGTCATAATGGAAAATTATAATGGACATTATGGCAGGCTAAAGAGGTCACTACTTTTTTGACACTGTAGCCAATGAGAGGTACAGTGTTTGTTCTCTCTCTTTGGATCTGAGTGGGCTCTGTGATTGCTTTGACTGGTAGAATATGGCCAAAGTGACAATGTGCCAGTTACTGGGCCCAGGCCTTAAGATTCTCAGCTTTTACTTTCTCTCCTGGAATGGATATTCTTGGGATGCTCTCTCTGGGGACCCATGACGTGAGGCCCAAGGCACATGTCGGTGCTTCAATTGGCAGACCTGAGTTCCCAGCTGGCAGCCAAGATCAAGTGTGCGACAGCCAACTTGAACAACCAGCCGGGTCAAACCTTAAGAGGACTTCAGCCTCACTCTACCATGTGGCTGCAACAACATGAGAGACCTTAAATGAGAACCACGTAGCTGAGTCCAATTACCCTACAGAATGATGAGTGATAATAATAAATTATTGTTTTAAGCCACTAAGGTTTATGGTAGTTTTTTATACAACTGGTGCAGGCTCTATTTGCTTTTGGATGAAATTTTTGGATAGGAAAATATGTTGGTAGGAAAAAGTGATATGTGCAGGTATTACAACATACTAATATAGAGTGTATTAGTAGGGGCCAACATATGCATTATTGGGATTTATTAATGTTTCATTGGTTTTAGCTTAAATTAAAATATACTGGTGACTTCATATAAATACAGTCCTCAAATCTTGTGAAAGTTAGAAAACAACCAAAGTAAAGTCTTGTAGCATCACAATCACATAAAAAAGAAAGTCAAAGGAGGAAGTCATCTTGCACTCTGCACATATCTAATGTCTTGGGGGTATTTTGGGTACTCTTGCAGGGACATTCTTCCAAGACAGCAGCATCATCTCCTTGCATATCACCACGTTACATTATTCAACCAACTCCTGCTCAGACAAAAGTAGCAGAATTCAATTCAATCCAATCCAATTCAATTCAACTCAACTCAACACATTCGGAATGGCTTCTTGTAGTAATGCTTTTAAGGCATTTTAATAATTGCTGTGGGAACACAGACATAAGCCCTACTTTCAATGAGTTCTCAGTCTATCCAGCAGATGTATATGCAGCAGAAGCTCTATTAATCTGCTCTTTTTTAACCGATTCATCAGATTAATTAATACTCTTCATTCCCAATGAAGAGCAGGATCCTCACTACAAAGACGGTGCATGTCTGCTCCCATCAGTTGAACTGCATTTTCCTCAAGAGTCAGCTGCATTAGTCTCCTAAGTTCTTTATGCCAGGCATCTTTGTGGTTCTAATTGTATAATTTAATATTGCATAAACTGAAGAGTATAAAAAGACAGCTGTTCCTATAAAAATTAAGTCCAACACTTTAGAAGAACCAAAGATTTGAAAGTAAATTTGCTATTGGATTATATTTGAGCTTGAAGCTATACAAGATCAGGAAAAATCATGAATATGTAGAAAGCTTTTATACTTGGTTTATTTTGAAATTATTCTTAAATTCTTGGTGCCCTTTAGAGAAACTCAAACTAGAAACTGGTGATGACAATGCATTATGTGTAGAATTTATGCCAGGAAGATATGACAGCATTAATCATTGAAACCATACTCAGATAAAATAAATTGTCCCTATATTAGAAGACTTGAAAATGAATGCACATTTATTTGAGTTAAAATAAATGTTTAAGAAATACACTTGGGGTATATGTATGTGAGTGATTTCTGTTCCCTATTAACTGATCAACTCTTTGTCCTGATTGCTGGGAAAAGACAGAACACCTCACAGCTGGCCCTGTCAGAGGCAAGGGAATGAGAATTTTTTTACTCTTTCTGCCCTCAACCCCCAGGAGACTTAAATGCCCAGGCTATTCTGGCTTTCCATGCCCACAGACCAACTCCACCCCAGCAGCCTGAGGACTTCTCTCCTACCAAGGCTGGCCAGTGTTGGCTGGTGGGAGTGAAAGTGATGGGCAGCCACGTATGCATGAAAATGGGGACATGGGAAGAGTGCCGACAACCCCTTCTGCTACAGAAGCCTGGTCATATCAAGGGAGCACTGAGTGCCAGGGTGAGGGGTAGGATTTATTCAACCCATATCCAAAAGCAGTAGGGAGCCAGTGAGGGTATCTGACTGAGCAGAGGTATGGCAAAATCAGGTAACACCTGGACTGGCTGAGTGGCTCAGTTGGTTAAGAGCTTGCTTAAGAGTGCGAGCTCTGAGCAACAGTGTCGCCGGTTTGATTCCCACATGGGTCAGTGAGCTGCGCCCAAGCTGATCTGCCAACAGGTGACAGGGTGGCTTAGCTGGTGAGACCACATGCTGCTAACAACAAGGTTGCCTGATCAAGATGGTGGGCTACACCTGCCCACAACTAAAGACTGAACTCGGCACCTTGAGCTGAGCAGTCAACCAGATGGGTCAGTGGATAGAGCATGCACTCTTAACAATGAGGCTGCTGGTTAGACTCCGGCATGGGATGGTGGCTATGGCCATCCGCAACTAATTGAACACAACACCTTGAGCTCAGCGGTGTGAATGAACTTGGAGCTGAGCTTGCTGCGCCCTCCACAACTAAGATTGAAGGACAACTTGGCTGTTCCCCTTCCCCAATTCCCCAACACTATTACCCTCCCCTAATTCCCCAATAAAATCTTTTAAAAAAATCAGGTAACACCCATTATCTTCTGCTTTTTGAAGAGAAAGACAGAGAGATGTACTTTCCATCACAGTAGGAATCAGAGTTCCCAGTGCACTGACACGTCTAAGACAGGATAATAATTTACATACAAAAGTCCGCCAAAAGTGCCCAATAAAGAAAGAGCCTATTAGCTAGGTAATAATTCCACAGGAACTTGCATTTACTGTCTGCCTGAAGGCAGAACAGAAAAGTTTTCCTTGGAAAACCATGTAAGCTTGCTGTTGATTTTCAAAGGTCCTTGTTTTTATAATATATAGCACCTTCTGGGAATGCAAGCAAGGCAATTCATACTAACAAATCCTTCTTGTCTAAATACTGAACATGCCTTTCAGAAAGACAATGAGTTATCACTATTAAGCAATTCCATGTTATGCAGTAAAATGGAAGTTATTCCGTGGAACTACCTTCCAGTATTTTTGGCATCTTGAGTTCTTGCTCTGTCTGCACCAGCCTCCGGACTGGCTTAGTGCTGTAAGATCTAGCAAAAACAAAGGGAGGTGTAGAGGCACTTTCAGTAACACAGAGTCAATGAGCACTAAGGAACTAAGTCTTTCCAGGGCCCCCACTACGGAAGGATATCAGTATTTCTGAATGATTGAGGACTATTAATTCTGATCACCTATTACTAAGGAAATTGGTCCCTGGAGCTCACACTTCACTTCCTCAGCTGGATAACCTACAAGAAACATCAGGCCTCCGGAGCTGCTCATGCTATAGCTGCAGCTGATGAAGTGACTCCTGCACTGAAATGACTGAGACAGGAGACTGAGGATGAAGTGACACTTCTGATAATCCACCCCAGCTAAGCCTGAAGATAAGTCACTCATGAAGTGTGTGGCAGCGTACAGAGCAGGCTTTTGCATGGGTCCCCGGGGTTTTGGAAGGCCTGGTAGCTAAGAAAGTCCGAGCCTGTAGCCTTTTCCTCTATATGTGTCAGAGGAAGCTTGGCAGAGCAAGATGACAAGGATTAGAGACACAAACTTATGTTGGGTTCCCCAGAAGCTGACTCTGAGGTGAGGGTTCTTATACAAGTGACTTACTAAAGGAAGTGCTCCCAGGATACAGCAGTGAAGGGGTGGGGGAAACAGGTCAGGAGAGGGGAGGGAGCCAGGCGAGGGCACAGCCTGATGTGGCTGGGGACCTCTGGAGTGCAACGCAAGCCAGGGAATTTTTCCCACTCTTAGTGAGGGAATTGGGCTTTCAGAATAACTGCCCCTCCCCCAACCTCAATCTTAGCCAGGTGCTGGCTAAGGGTTGCCTTGTGGCAAGGAGTACATAAGCTCCTCAGAACTTCTGGCGCTCTGCCCCTGTGGGAAAAAGCTACTGTAGCCTGAGGACACGCTTCTAAAGAGTCTCAGGTGGAGGCTGTTGGAGGCAAAATTCCTAACAGATGCAGTGAAAGGAATCCAAGGTCATCTGGCAGAGGACCAACTAAGTTCTACAGACATTAAACAAAATCACGACTTTTCTACCTTGAGCAGGGTCAGAGAGATGCTTCTCCCTTATGATAGTGGAACCACTCAATGGCAAGGTGAAGGTGATTACTTCGGAATGTTGTTGGTCCCTAAGCACACATGATGCCTGGGAGAGGCCAGGGAGAGCATAGGTACTATCCCAGCACAAATCCTTCAACCATTTCCAGGAAACTGACTGGAAACCCTCCAAAGAGTCCCAGTGTGCTTTAATATTAAATTTATGACAGACAAGTTAATTTCATGTACTAAGATGCATGTTACTTGTCCTCCATCTGTGTCACACATCATATGATGTCTTGGACCTTTTCTAACTATGATTCCATGATGCTCACGCATTATACACAAAAGGAAGCGAGTCACAGGAGACTGCTAAGTCATATTAAATGCTATCCTTAATGGTGAGGCTTTTCATTCAATTCCAAGAGACACAGTGCTATAATGACCAAATATTTCTCATAATTAATGCTAGGGGAATGTTACTGTATTGAGAACTTACTTGTTATTATTGTACTTTGTATCTATATCACCCTTATGTTAGTCAAGGGCTTGTAGTTATTTTATGTTTAAGGATTTTTATCATATTTTATTGTCAATTTTACCCACAGCCCAATTATATCTCCTGAAGATTTTCCATGAGTTCTTTACACCATGTTTGAGGTCAACAGTTATAAAACCCCACCAGAAAGCTATATTTAACTTCTGAGTCTCGGTCTCCGCATAAAAAATGGGGATAACGATACTTGGCTCACAATGGTTGTTGTAAAATTAGATGTGACCAATGCTGCTATTGATCATGATCAATGTTTATTGCTGTTGATGATATCCAACCTTTGATTTCTCCTGTCCAGCATCCCCTCCCCATTCCTTTCATGCTAGTGTACCTGGATTTCCTTTAGGGCAATACCACTTTCAGGATCAGAGCACGTTCTGATTGTCGTAAGCCAGTCAATGTAGCTCACCTCCCTGGTCACAGTGATAAACTCAGGATGGGCAAATAATCCAAGTAGAATTAGGAGAACCAGGCCCAGGGCAGTGGTTGAACTGCTGGAGGAGGAGGAACTGTCTCCTCTCCTGGACAATGTGCTGCAAGAATGACAGGCTTGCAGCTACTGTAGTGTCCAAGAGAAACATGCCTGAAGCCAGTGAGGGAGGTCAGTACTGTATGAAGTTTGAAAATGAAGCTAATACAGAGATGAGAGACCAGGGGATTCCAGGGCCTTGATAAGATCTGAGCATCTGGATCAAGTCATGCTTTACAATCACTGGCCAATAATTTCCTTTTACTTTTTTTGAACAGTATGAGCTGGGGTTTCTGTCAATTGCAATACAGGGACTGCAACGGAGCATAAATATGACCTAGCATTTACTGAGAGCTTATAATGTGCCTGATCCAATACTGCGAGCATCACACAGAATGCGTATTCAGGCCTCACAGCATCCCTATAAGCTATGTCCAATTATGATATCACAAATGAGAGAACAAGGCCTAGGAAGTTAAGGAATTTGCCCAAGGTCGCACAGACAATTGTGATGCTGCCAGGATTGAACCCAGGAAGTCTGATTTGAGTTCACTATCATTACCGTTATGGTTTGTTTTTTTTTGTTTGTTTGGTTGGTTTTTTTGTTTTGCCTCTCTATATAAAGAACAATGTTTGGTTATGTAAATGTGAACTTTTTTCACCTCACTGACTTAAAAAGTCACTGCACATGTAGAAAGACAGACTCCAGCTGCATTGAGTGAATCCAAGGTACTCTTGCTCTAGTTTAGAACATATTATTATATTGTCAATTTCTAGAACCAGCTCTGAGATTGTTTTTCTGACTATAACTCAAGACTTAGGTTAAGAATCACAAAAGTTGGAACGTAGGAAACCAGATACTTTAACTACTGGTCACTTCCTCATAGGAGCCGAGGCAAGACTACTCCTGCTTATGTCTGAATTGTGGAGAATGAGAAATGGAGAGACAATTTTGAGACTGATCTTGCCCTATGCATTTGTTTTTGCCTATGTGAAAATGAATGCTTTTACTGTCTAATAGGATCATGTAATGTATTCCTTTTGTTTATTCATGGAAACCTTCAAATGATGAATACATTTTTAGTAAGTCAAGTTCATAATATATATGATTATGTGGTTGGCATTATACAGTCTACTGAAGAAAGATTTCCAAAAGAATTTATTTTACATTTATTACATCATTCCAACATGAGCTGCAATAGTCTTTCAGATTATCACATGATAATCTGAAGTCTTTAGATCCTTTAGGCCTGTGACATCAATTTGGGCTCATAACTTGACTCGCTGCATAACTGTATGACTAATATGGAAGCATTTCCTACCTTGGGCTGAAGCACAAACCACTCATCACTTGGATTTTCAAAGTTCCACGAGTCAAAAGGAATCTCCACTTCCCCAAGGAAACTGTTACGTCCAAATCGATCATAATGCCAGACTGAGAGCTGCAGAGTTCTCGTTTCCAGTTGGGTATGGCTGATAGTGTACTACAAATGAGATTGACAATATCACATTCCACATAGAGGGTTCTGCCCAATTCTAAGCCAGATTGAAATTTACTTCTGTCATCTTTCATATCAGATGCATTAGTAATAGGAACAAACCAAACACCAAAAAACACTTAATTTTTCATTTCTGCTACAAATGAGATTCTATTCTATGAACTCATTTTGTGCTAGCACTGAAAGATGTATCAACAAATTATTTGGGGAGGGGGGTTTGATAAACTTCAGATAGTGTATAAAAAGTGTTAAGGGGGTAAAGATTATTCCCTTTCCAGTTTTACCTGTTTTTCATTTGCCTGATTATTTTTTAACCATCTACTTTGTAAGGTCAAGGTTATTCTGTCAATTCTCTAACTTCTTTGTCTTATTTTATTCAAAATGAGAACTCGGAAATCCAGAAGATTCTTGGCAGTGAGACACTTGCAAATACCACACTTCATAAAAACCATCCTAAATGCAGGGATGAATAGATATATATGTAGGTTGAGCAAAAACGAAATACTGCTTGGGTAGCTTTTCTTTTTCCAGGAGAACATCATCCAGGATCCCATGCCACACACCTGCAAACCTCCTTTTGTTCTGTGCAGCTACCACCGAGGACATGCTTCAGACTGACTGATTCCTGATCTTAGATTTGCTTCTATACCTCTCCTGGCATGATTAACCTTGGCCCCTGCTTCCTGAATTTGCCATGTGACTCTGCTTTTCTATTCTGTGTGGGCTCATCTTTGCTGTCCTGTTATGGCCACTGGATTCACCCCTTGTCTGATTTCATTCATTCTCATTTTGATCTTTCTTAATACTGGCTCCTGCTTCCACACATGGCCCCACTCACAAACTTGCTGCCATGGTGGACTCTGATTCCACCACTCTGGACACAAGATCCATAAATTGCCCTGCAACTTCCAATAACCTCTACATTACAGTCTCCCCAGATCTTTCTTACCAGGCTAGATTGGTCCAGGGTGAGAGAAGGGGTTGTTATATGGAAGCCCATGGGGAAAAGTAATTGCTCTAGGATTGTGGCCTGCGTTATCTTATCTAGGTCACTTTCTCTGATATTTCTCAAATCTAACCCTGTGTCACCACTATTCATTAACCACTTGCCTAAATTTAGCCAAATTCTGAAACCCTCACAAGAAATAGCACATATTCATGCTGTGTTAGCAGAACAATGACTGTGTACAAAGTGACCTGCTAAGTCAGTGTCAAAAGTGACAAACTTCCTTTAAGGGGAACTACAAAAAGCACAGTTTTCCCAAGGGTGAAACATTTGTTTTTGACAAGATGTACCAGTTCAGATGTAATTTTGCTGGATCATCTCTACTTAAGATGTAACTTCAGCAGCAGCAGAGAAATAAACAGCATAAGAGTGGCTTACATTTTTTCCTTACCAAAAACTGTTAGGAAAGCCAAGAGCATTACAGTAATTTATTCAAATTCTACTTCTCTAAAATACACATAAGCCTTGCCATGCAAATTCCCTGTAGTTACTTCTAAACCAGTGAGGTTGTGAACAGTATCATTTCAGTTGCTATGAGAGACTGTTTACTTACCTTTAGCGTTTCATTGAATTCTGGATTAGTGCCTGTTCTGATTTTGGTCTTGCGTTTATTGTTTCTAGACTTGTCAGGAAGAAGGTACGACTTGACGTAACTGTTGGTGATAAGAAGATGAAATGAATTATTGAGACACATTTACTTTGCAAGAAATGCTCAGGGACTTCAGTAAATAAAAGAGGTAAAGGGAACAGGCCAGTAAGCATAAGAGATAGAACCAAAGACGATACAGCCTATGTAAGAGAACACCTTAAAAATCACTCTGGGCCTTCAATAAGAGTAAGGCAGTAAAGTGTAAAGAGTGTGGGCTCTGGAGTCAAGCCAACTGGGTTTGAATCACTCCATTCCTCACTAGTTTTGCTGAACTCGAGAACTTACTTAACCTCTCCTTGCCTCAGTGTCCTCATATATAAAACTGGGATAATAACAGTATCTAACTTATGGCATTGTGAGGACTAAATCAGTTAATGCATACAAGGAGATGACTTTATACTACTTAATAACTATAATCTAATACTATGATCAGCGGTCTCACAAAATATGATGGGGTTATATTCCTTTCCATTCAGATGTTAGGACTTCTGATGAAGGGAGTCAATGGTACGGGGTGAATGAAGAAAAATGGTGAAAAAGAAAAAATAGAAAACAAAAACCTAAGTCACAATAGCAATTCTACCAACACCTTGCCTTGAACTATCCCAGAAGCCTCTTGGAGCAGGGGCATCATGGCAGATGCAGAAACATGTAAGATGTACATGATGCTACCAGAGTCCTGAAGTACATCTACTGCGGCTTTCGATGATCCCTTTCTATGCTAGTCTAAATGATTATATTGGTCCTGAAGCCCTGTGATATTTAGCTGAGGAAGTAAATGGACCAATCTGTACTCAGAATCCTTTCTTGGCTGAGTTTATTGAATCTAGGTCATCTAGTATGTAGAAAAGGGGTCACCTAGCAGGTCTGAGGCTGCTATCCTTAAAAATGCCTGCTTACAAAGTTGGTCCTTGGCTGGCATCTTGGGACTTGGATTTTGGGAGGAGTCTCATCATTCCGAGAACAGATGTAAGTGGGTCACCGTAACTAAACTATTTGTGAAAACAATATGGCATATGCTGAACATCTGCTTTCTTTCTGGGAGACTGGAATTTTGGTATGTGACCAGTTGAGTCTCTAAATGGCTTTTCTGGCAGACAACATTTCACAAGTATTATCATACCCCGTTGTTAGAAGAATTAAGTGCATCCTGTGTGACTCCACTGGGAGGGAACACTTGAAAGAGTAAGCCTGGATTTGTCAGAACTTCATCACATATGCCTCTTCCCTTTGCTGATTATGGCTATGTGTGGAGTCCCGTGAGTCCTCCTAGTGAATCATCAAACCTGTTAGTGGTCCTCAGAACTCCTGATACATTTTTATATGCAGCTCCCCTCCAACGTGCCATGGTTCACACCTGCCCTCCCAGGCTGATCCCAGGAATCCTGAGAGAGTCAAAATTGCCATTTTGAGAGTTGTTCAATCGGGCTAATGGCTTAGCAATTTTCTCAGAACAAAAACCAACTCTTAGTCATCCTGGGTGTGCCAATGTGTCAGCGTTCTATCTCAAAGAGCTGACTCTGTGTAAACTACAAATATGTCAGTCCTAAATCATGTTGAGGAATGAATAGCTTCTTAAAAACCAGGTAAAAAAATCAGGTAACTACAGACACAACCATTACACATGTACTTCAGAGAATATTTAGAAGGGTGGCATAGGAGGAAAGCGACAATCAACCTTCGGAAAAGGTTCTGGATCAAGAGGAGAATGCTCAGAATCTTCTGAAAAAGAAACACACACTGACAAAAATTTCAGTGAATGAAATAATCTGAGGAATATGGTATGTGCTTACGCATCTGTCCTCTGTTTCTTTTCATCTCCTATGGCCAGATTTCTGCAATTCTTGACAAAAATGTAGAGCCCGCCAGTTTTGTAGCAGTAGCTGATGTGCAGAAGGATTTCACCACTGACCTTCACGTTGCCATAGTCTCCCGTTTCACTGTAAACGCTCATCATGCTGTTAAGGCTGGTCTAGAATAAACAAGATGAAAAGAGGTGTCCAGTGCTATTCTAATGAACTCTTGACAGAAGTCAACCCCTTCATTCAATTACAATTCCTGTTTTTTAATAACCAGCAGGGAAGTCTAGGGAAAGGTTAGAAAGTGAAAATCACTTGTTTTGCTTGTTTTTCTAGTTTATAAAATGCAAGACTGAGAAAGGACAACAAGATATAGCACCATTATTAAGGAAGGCAGGAAGCGTGCTGAGGGGAAAAGCATTGCCCTTTTGGGATAGTGAATAACTTTCCTTGATTCATTTCTTCTAAAGAACACAGTGGTCAATGACGCATTTCTAAACCCATCTCCTCTCCCCATCCCTGTAGCTTTCTCCTTTTTCACTGGTAGTCTCAAGGTCAATCTACTTCAAGGTCTAGAATGCATTGATCAGAACAAAGAAAAGCTCATCTCATATTCTGTGCTAGCAAGAGCCAAAAGCTTCTCTCTCAGACACCCACAGAGCATCCCATCAGTCTCCTGGGAGCTGTAACTGCACCTTTAACAAGGTCACCCACAGCTGCCGTGATTCCCCTGAGCAACTGTGTGGCCACCTGGGTAGTGTAAGACCACAGCTTCGTAAATCTCAGTAAAATAGCAACCCACAAAATAGAACACTAAACAAGAAAATAACACACCAAATACTAAAATAAAAATGTAAAACAAATCCAAATCTACCAGAATGAATGAAGTTTCTGATGAGTCACTAATGACAAGACGGCATGTTTTAAATTAAATGTAACAAAATTATCCTTCGCTGCAAGGAGCATAAACTCTGTATCTTAGCAACAGGACTGTCCCAAAAGACCACCTGGAAGGCTTTCCTGAGTGACCCTGTAGTTCCAAAACTCCTGTCTGTGAATGACTGGGAAGTAAGGACTATGGTGAATGCAAAGAGAGTTTATACGAGGTCTGACAATTAAGTTCACAAACTCATTGCAACAATGTTGCTAACCTTTTTTGATATCAGAGGGATTATTCATTATGAATTTGTACCAAATGGACAGTTAACCATGTTTAGTATTTAGAAGTGCCAAAAAGACTGCATGAAAAAGTTAGACAACCTGAACGTTTTGCCAACAGTTCATGGCTCTTGCATCACAACAATGCACCAGCTCCCATGGTACTGTCTGTGAGGGAGTTTTCAGCCAGTAAACAAATAATTGTATTGGAACACCCTCCCTACTCACCTGATCTGGCCCCCAGTGACTTCTTTCTTCACCCGAAGATAAAGGAAATGTAGAAAGGAAGACATTTTGATGACATTCAGGACATCAAGGATAATAC